AATGAAGTGAGTTAATGGGTCCACGCTCATTGAATTCATTGATCCTACCATGTTGCCCATCATCCTGAAGCAGCTAGCTTGACAGAATGATGGAATGGCTTTCTAAAGACACAATTATGGCACCAGCTAGGTGGCAATACCTTGCAGTGTTGGGGCAATGTTCTCCGGGTATATGAGCTCTAAACCAGTATCCAATATATGGTACTATTTCTCCCATAGCCAGGATTCATGAGTCCAGGAATCAAGGGGTGGAAGCAGGAGTGGCACCACTATTACTCCTAGTGACCCACTCGCAAGATTTTTGCTTTCTGTTCCTGTCATGGATTGAATTATGTCCCCCCAAAAATGTGTATATCAATTTGGCTAGGTCATGATTCCCAGAATTGTGTGGTTGGCCTTCATTTTGTGATTGTAATTTTATGTTAAACAGGATTAGGGTGGGATTGTAACACCACCCTTACCCAGGTCACATCCCTGATCCAATGTAAAGGGAGTTTCCCTGGGGTGTGGCCTGCACCACCTTTTATCTCTCAAGAGATAACAGGAAAGAGAAACAAGCAGAGAGTTGGGGACCTCATACCATCAAGAAAGGAGTGCCAGGAGCAGAGCACGTCCTTTGGACCAGGGTCCCAGCACCAAGAAGCTCCTAGTCTGGGGGAACCCTGGTGACAAGGCCGAGAGAGAGAAAGCCTTCCCCTGGAGCTGACACCCTGAATTTGGACTTAAAGCCTACTTTACTGTAAGGAAATAAACCTCTCTTTGTTAAAACCATCCACTTGTGGTATTTCTGTGATAGCAGCACTAGATAACTAAGACAGTCCCCATGATCCTATGCTCTGGTGGTCTAGAAGTCTTGGTTCCAAAGGGAGGAATGCTTCCACCAGGAGACACAACACTGACCCCACTGAACTGGAATTTTAAGAATGACACCTGGCCACTTTGGGCTCCTCATGGCTCTGAATTAACAGGCAAAGAAGGGAGTTACCATATTGATTGGTGTGACTGATTCTAATTACCAAGGGGAAATTGGATTGATATTACATAATGGAGGTAAAGAAGAGTATGTCTGGAATATGGGAGATCCCATAGGACGTCTCTTAGTACTACCATACCCTGTGTTAAAGTCAATGGAAAACTATAGCAACCCAATTCCAACATGACTACTAATGGCCCAGAACCTCCAGGAATGAAGGTCTGGGTCACCTCATCAGGCAAAGAACCACAACCAGCTGAGGTGCTTGCTGAGGGTGAAGGGAATAACAGAATGGATGGTGGAAGACGACAGTTCTAATACCAGCTGCAACTACGTGAACAGCTGCAGAAAGGAGGACTATAACTGTTTTTAATATTTCTTCCGTTTTGTTTTATGTGTGTCAGTGTGTGTACTGATATATATATACACACACACGCCGAATTTTTGTTTTCTTCTCTCCCTTATTCCATTACTTATTATAAAATATAAGATGTAAACAGGGCTTGCACATTTTTGGTTGTACGCATGTTAGCTGTAGGTATGACTTTATAGTTGCTTTATTTAGAGATTATGTATTGTTTAAGAAGATGTATACAGGTGCCAAATTGACAAAAGGTGGACCATGATGGTTAAGGCTATGTGTCACCTTGGCTAAGCCATGATTCTCAGTGGTTAGGCAGATATTACATAATTATCCTCCATTTTGTGACTGGACACGAGCAGCCAATCAATTGCAAGGGGAGTTTCCTTGGGGGCGTGGCCTTCAGCCAATATATATGGATGTTCTGCAAAGCTTGCCTTCTCTCAATCCTGCATCCCACTCGTCATCCTCTGACCTCCAGTATTTGGGATGTGAGCGAGAAGCCTGCTTGCTGCCTGACCCTCAGATATTGCGATTTGCCAGCTCCTGGAGTCCCATGAGCTAGAGTCTGTCACTTGACCTGCCCATTTTGGGTCTGTCAGCCCCTACAACCATGAGACTTGTAAGAAGCCTCCAGCCTGACATGTGACCTATGGATTTAGGAGTTGCCAGTCTCCACAACTGTGTGAGCCATTTCCTTGAAATAAATCTCTAAACATACATACATATACATATATGCATAAACATACACATACGTGTATATGTATATATATGTGCGTATACATAACCACATAAACACGTATATGTATATTTACATATGCTGCACTAGTTTTAATCAACTAGAGAACCCAGTCTAAGACATTTGGTATGAGAAGTGTGGGGTGCTGTTCTAACAGATACCTAAAATGTAGATGCAGTTCTGGAACTGGGTAATAGGTAGAGACTGGAAGAGTTTTAAGGTGCCTAACAGTAAAGCCTAGATTGCCTTGAAGAAACTGCTGGTAGAATCATGGATGTCAAAAGCAATTCTGGTGAGGGCTCAGAAGGAAGTGAGGATAGCTACAGAGAAAGTCTCTATCATCTTAGAGCATACATACGGTACCACCAACAGAACGCTGTTAGAAAAGAAAATGATGAACATGTGATTGGATAACGGAGGAAGTGCAATGCTTTTTATGCAGCGGCAAAGAACCTGTCTGAATTATGTTCAAATGTTTGTTGGAAGGCAGAACTTATAAGTAACGAACTTGGATATCCGGCTGATGGGATTTCTAAGCAAGGTCTTAAAGGGGCTGCGTCGTTTCTCCTTGCTGTTTATGGTAAAATGTGAGAGGAAAGAGATTAACTTAAAAAATGAACTGAGTAAAATGAAAACAGAACTTAAAGATTCGTAAAATTCTGTTTTACAAACTAAGGACACATGTACTAGAATGTTCACCAAGGACGTGGCTACACCAGACACTCTTTTGTTAAAAGAGATTAAGCCTGTGACTAATGGCTGTAATCAACTTCACAGCATAAAAACCATCAGCTTAGACTGAAAAGGACAGAGAAAGAACAAAAAGAAAGAACGCTGTCTACCTCTTGGAATTCTACAAGCGGGAAACAAGCCAAAGGAGCTACACCTGTTGTCCTCCAGAACTCCTGGAAGGAGCATCGGAAGCAAGGCCTTCTCAGTTCCAACGGGTGGAGCCATGGTCTCCTAGATTTCAAAGAGTCGTATGTTGGTCAACTTGGTTACAGTGTGTGGGGCTGCTGTTAAGATGTGCCGGGCGATGGGGCCGCCACTCAAAGCTGAGGGGGTGGGGCTGCCATGCCCAAGGGACAGAAGAACAGGGCCTGCCAGGGCCCAGAGTGTGGGGTCACCACTCAGATTAACTAAAGCTGGTGGAGCAGAGTTGCTATTCCAGACAGCCTGGAAGGCAAAGCTGAATCCCAGGGATGTGGGGCCTCCAGCGAGAATCCAGACGGCTTGGCCAACACCCAGAAACTGGAGGGCAGGGCCCTTGCCCAGATGGTCTCAGAGAAGAAAGGATTATTTTCAAGCCTTGAGAGCTAATGTAATTTGTTCTGCTGGGTTCCAGACTTGCTTGGTGCCTGTTATCCCTTCTTTCCCTCCAATTTCTCCCATTTGTAATGGAAATGTCTACCCTGTGCCTGCTCTACCATTGTACTTTGGAAACAGGTAACTTGTAGTCTAGATCTCACAGGTTCACAGATGAAGAGCAATTTTGCCGCAGAATGCAGTATGTCTAAAGTCTGACTCACATTTGACTTCGATGATTCAGATGAGATTTTGTACTCGGAGTTGATTTAAGACTTTTGGGATGAAGTGATTGGGTGAATGTGTTTTGCATACACCAAGGACATGGATTTTGGGGGGTCAAAGGGTAGAATGCTATGGATTGAGTTGTATCCTTCCAAAATACAAAATTTGTGTTATAAATCCTAACCTCTACGCTTGTGGTTATAATGTCATTTGTGAATAGACTGTCTTTGTTACGTTAATGAGACAGGATTAGTGAAGGGCGTGTCTTGAGTCAATCTCTTACAAAATATGAAAGAAGTTTAAGGAAGCAGAGATGAGAAAACAGAGCTGTCAAGCCACATGAAGACCACCCAGGAGCAGAAGCTCAAAAGCCGACCGAGAGAGAACGCCTTCTCCTAAAGGCAGCACCCTGAATTCAAACTTCTAGCTTGTTAAAACTATGAGAAAATAAATTTCTGTTTGTTAAAGGCACCCACTTGTGGTATTTCTGTTACAGCAGCACTAGAGACTAAGATAAGACAATGCCCCTCTCCTGTTCTTCACAGCCTTTTCAAATCCTCACCACTCTTCTTCAGCTTCCAAACCTACTATCTCCATTCTCCCTCTCAGTCAATATTTATCTTCTATGTCAAAGAAGTTCCCTCAAATATTTGCCTCCAAACTGACAAACTTGCCTGCATCCATCCTTTCCCTCATCCCTCCTGGTATAATGGAAGGAGAGACTCCTCCCTCTGACTAAGACTTGTGCCTCCTCATTTACTCTGGATCCCATCTTCTCCCATCCTCTCTTTATCAATTATCTACTCTCTCTGAACCTTCTAATACTCTACTCCTCGACGGTTTCTTTAGAATTTCAACATTTTCCAGTTTCTTTCCAGGAATAAAGGAAGGGAGGGAGGGAGGAATAATGAAAAAAAAGAAAGAAAAAGCATTTCTCAGGCTTAGGAGGCTAGCACAGGAGGAAAAATTAAATTTTAAGAAGTGCTCTTAATTAATACATTGGACTTCGACATTTTTTCCTGAAAAATTTCACAAAGCCACCTCCAAATACTAAAAAAAGTATAAATATATGTTTACGTTCTATGTTATGTTAAGGAACACAGTCTGGCTAAACCTATGGTGTCAGATGGACCTAGGTTCAAATTCTGGTTCTGCTTTTGAAGCTGCGTGGGCTTGTGTACATCACTTCACCTCTCTGAGCCTCAGTTTCCTCATCTCTGTAACGGGTAAAAAACATGGCTTGCATAGGATTCTTGTGATGAGTAAATGAGATAAGGTTCTAATACAAAGCACCGTGCCTAGCATGAAGCAAGCACTCAGCAAATGGCAGCTTCTCTCATTACTACAACCCCATACTGACCCTTTTATTTAAAAAATGAAGACAAAGCAAAGCTTACCTCAGCCACAGTGAGGACACAGTACATGGACTGATGCTCGGGGTCCACGCCTTCTAGTTTCATGCCAACCTTGAATCCATTTTTGTTATATGGAAAAGACTGATGCTAAAATGCAAAATAACAGCAGCTTTAGTATTTTACCTCGTGGGCCTAAGTTAAAAATGTGAATAATTACCATTCTTAAAGACTATTTAACCAAATACATCAATAACTCCTAAAAATCTATAAGAAAAGGATCAATAAATAATCAAATGGCAAAATGTACAAAGGTTATAAACAGGTCACATAAAAGGGAATTTAAACGTCTTTACATATTTGAAAAGATGCTAAACCTCATCTGTCTGAGTCATACAAAGTAAAATTACACTAAGACATATTTCATCAATGAGGTTGGTAAAGATCAAAAACTTGTATAACACACTGTGTGGGCAAGACTATAGGGAAACAGACATGCACATACATCATTAGTAGGGTATAAATTGGTGCAATCTCTGGCAATATCATAACACCTATTAAAAAATGGACATTCTTTTTGATGCATCAATTCTAATTCTAGGAAATTATCCAACAGAGATACTCACACATGCAAAATGACAGGTGTACATGATTATTCACTAAAACATTCATATAATGAAAAATTTGAAAAATATATACATATACACGCCAATCAATAGAGAAAAGTGTAAATTATTATGGAACAGACCTAAGATGGAATGCTATGCAGTAGCATAAAAGAATGATGAAGGTATTAATGAACTGAAGTGAAATAATCTCTGTCAAGTTAAACAAAAAAGCAAAGTCAAAACAGTATGTAACATATGTTACTATTTAGTTTAAGAGAGGGGAGAGGATTTGTGTATATGCTGCTTATAAAATCTGTTGCCACTGAGTTGATTCTCGCTCATAGCAACCCTGTAGGACAGAGTAGAACTGCCCCATAGGGTTTCCAAGGAGTGGCTGGTGGATTTGAACTGTCCACCTTTTGGTTAGCAGCCAAAATAATTTCCCAGGAAGGATGTTTAAGAAATTGGAACAGAGAGGTAAACCTGATGTCTAGGGACGTACTTTCTATTCTTTTAACACCTTTTACATTCTGAATCGCATGAATGTATTACTGACTCAAGTAATTAGCTCTACACAAGCTTTTTTTTTAATGAAAAAGCCTATTCTGTTAAGGACCAAAGTTACAGAAAATAATTACACAGAACAAACGCACGTGTAATTACTATTACATTTAAGTTAAATATTATTAATGTAGATGCAATCATTCTTACATTTCCTATTCATCATTTTTTAAAAACTCCTTATGCTAATCCGTATATAAAAAGGTATCTAGGACAGATTTAGGTCTCTGTGTGGCACAAATGGCTTGCATTCAACTGCTAACCTAAAGGTTCGAACCCACCGAGAGGTACCACGGAAGAAAAGGCCTGGCGATCTGCTTTCATTAAGATTACAGCCAAGAAAACCACATGGAGCAGTTTTACTCTGTAACACCTGGGGTTGCCATGAGTTGAAATCAACTCAATGGAAACTAACAACAACGTGACAGACTTATTACGTACTGTGATAAAATGTACTTAATAATTTAAACCAGGGGCCAAATCGGGCCCACTGCCTGTTTTTGTAAACGAAGTTTTACAGAAACACAGCCATGCACATTGTTTTAAGTAGTGTCTATGGCTGCTTTCACACTACTACAGCAGAACTATGTTGCTGCAACAGAGTAAAGCCTAAGATGTTCACTATTTGGACCTTCACAGAAAAGTTTGCTGACCTGTTTTAACCCAGGGGAAGGAGCTCTTAGTCAGAACTACACCTGATGTCTATACTTTTAATTGATTTTTAAATCACTTATGATAAAATACTTAATTAATAAAATGTAATAACCCAACTTTAGATGTTTTGCTGTGATATGTAAATCTTAATAACTCGCTTTTATCATCTCAAAGCCACAGTATTGACATGATTTCACCCGTTTTAATTTATCTGCTAGTTTTCAGTACCAAGTAGAAGTATCCCTGTTAAAATTAATGAGTGAAGTCCCAGTAAATGTTGAGAGAAAAGAGCATGTGTATGTTGGAGTGTTCCAGTATGTGGCACTGGTGGGAGATATTAATATACTAAGGCCAACTGCCCTTGGAAATGCCTCTACAACTAAATAAAACCAACAGAACCAAACCTATTGCCTTCAAGTAGATTCCAACTCATGTATTACAAAGTAGAACTGCTCCATAGGGTATTTTTTGCTGTAATCTTTATGAAAGCAGCTTACCAGGCCGTTCTTCCACAGAATCACTGGGTGAGTTCGAACCACCAACTTTTAGGTTACTCGTCAAGTGCAAACCATTTGTGCCACCCAGTGACCTCTCCACATAAATGCACACACGAAAAACAGTATGTTTGAGGAATTATACCAAGCCATATTTCCTAAACAGACAATGGAAATGACAATACCAATTTCAGATCAGTATTCTAGTTCCTTTGCCCTTACAAACAAATGCTCTCTAGAAGGGCCCATACCTCCTTGAACAGCTTCGTTGGCACGGCCACAGCTTTTTCCTCCTCCAGGTAGGATGCCCAGCACCAGGCTTTCTTTCCTTTAGGGGGCAAACCTGAAAGGCAAGTGAAATGAAAATGATATCATTTCCAAATCTAAGAAATCAGAGAGATATTTTGTGAGCCCTCTCCTCCCTGACTACTACTATGCCTGGTTCTTCTCTTACTTTCACACCTGGTATTTCTCTGTCTCTTTACCTGGCTCCTCTTCCAAAAAAGAGAGCTGAGAAGTGAAGTGTGCTGTAATCCACAGTTTACGAGGGTAGAAAAAGGAGCAAAAGAACTCAGAGTACATGAAAAGGACAGCAGAAAACTACAAAAGAGTAGAATCATGGAAGCTATAGGAAGTAAAAGTTTCTAGAAGCAGGGTGCTCAAATTTTTTTTTTTTTTCCCCTGGGCAATCAAGAGGTTGAGGACTGAGAAAAGGCCAGTGCACTGGGTGGTTAGGACATGACTGTTAATCTTGAAGAGGGGGAAACAAATCAAACAAATTTTGAGATGCAAAAGAATACATTAGTGATAAAGAAAAGCAAGCAGCTAAAATCAATTTTATTCATTTAATTTAACAAATGATGAGAATGAAGAAAAAAGTATAATAGCTTGAAAGGTAACAATGCTGGGAGAAGGTATTTTGGGAATGAGATTTAGCAGACAAAGACAGAATTCACAAAGGAAAAAAAATCCACATAACTAACAAATAAAAAAAAGATGACTGAACGAACAAGGTCCCAGAAGAGCCAGGGTCCAAGAATTTCATCTGGAGCAAAGCAGAAAGAAACAGACATTTTGAGAGAAAGTAAATGCTAACTGAGGAATTTATCGTCTTTAATGTCAGAGAATTAAAATAGAAGGCCATCTGCCAAAAGATGTTTAAGTGAGGTTGTGTGTCTTAGAGGCAGGAGAAAATATTTACAACTCTTTTTGAGCAATTAACAGATTGCTATGGATTGAATTGCGTCCCTCTCAAAAGTTATGCTGAAGTCCTACTCTCGTTATCTGTGAACATGACTTTGTTTGGAAACAGGGCCTTTGACGATGTTATCAGTTAACACAAAGTCATACTGGAGTAGGGTGGGTCCTAGTTCAATTTGAGTGATGTCCTTAATAAAAGAGAAGAAGAGACACAGAGACACACACAGAAGGAAGACGGCTGTGTGAAGACAGAGGCAAAGATTTGGAGTGATCTACAGTCAAGGAATGCTAAGGATCACTCGTCATCATCAGAAGCTAGGAGGGAGGCATGTACCCTCAGAAGGAATCAACACGGCTAATGCCTTGATTTTGGAATCCTAGCTTTCAGACTGTGAGACAATACATTTCTGTTCGTATAAGCCACTGAGTTTGTGGTACTTTGTTATGGCAGCCCTAGGAAACTGATACACGGATGAGTAAGAGAGGACTTACACAAGCACTGAAGGGCAGAATTAGGTTCATGATGCTGATTTGTAGAGACAGGATGACTGCACAGATTGACAGTGGGGCCGAGCAAAGTGGAGTGACCTAAAACGAAGGACTGGACAGCAGATGTGGCAGGTCAAGAGGATGACACTGAGGCCTCTAGGGGAATGACCTAAGGTCTACACTGAACAAGGCAGGGAGTTTATCCAGTCGAGTACGAAAGAACAGAAAAGGGCCTACAGACTAGATTCCCCAGGAGAACCAAGTGCTGCCTGAGGAACAACGAAAGCAAAAAAATGTACCACATTAGGAGGTTCTGGTTTGAAAGGAAATATTAAAAACCTAAAATTTTGGGAAACAGAGCCTAAGAACAGAGGTTTTCATAAAGGTGAGGAAATAGAAGAAGTCTACTTGATGGAAATTAAAAAAGATGATCTCATGCTTGCCCTGAAATGACTTGAAAGTTACTAATTTCTCTTTATTTCCTCATCTAGTTCTTCAAAATCCTAACTTATACTGACCAACTTTAATCAAAGAAAAACCCAAACCAATATTTTAACTGCCATAGTCTGCATTGCAATTAGACTAAAACGTCTACCTATGTAAAGTATTTTCCATTTCGTAAAGTTACAAGTAAAATTTCCCTTTCATCAACTCACCCTGCTTTAATACAGCTGGATCACCTCGTCTTTTCCTTCGGGCTCTTTGCGAACCCCTCAGGATTCTTCCATCTTGTTTGTTCTCCTACAATAAGAAAGGAAAATTATCACTTTAAAAGTTCATGAAATTGGCACCAATGAAAAGTTAGGGAGCCGTCAAAGTTTTTTTTTTTTTTTTGTACTTTCCTTCAATTTCACTTCGTAACTTTTAAGGAAAGTAAGAATATAGGTCATTTGAGAACGGTGTTGGCTTTGGCCTGAGGTCAATACAAAGTCAGGCTGTTTCCAAGAATTACACTCTGGAATAGCACAGATACTGCTCCTTCCTCTTCTCTTAGTTCTATGACCACTCTGTTCTAGTTTTCCTCGTACCTCATCAGCCCCTTTTTCTCTGTCTCCTTTGCTGGTATCTTCTCTATCCCTGGCTTCCTTCTCTTCTCTAACTAGCCATTCATCATTCTCCTTAGGTTTAAAAGATCATTTATATGTCAAATACCCCCAATCACGATCTCCAACTCTGACCTCTTATCTGAACTCTACACTTGTGTATCCAACTGCCTAGTTGGTATTTTCACTTGGGTGTATAATTAGTACCTCAAACTCACTATGGCCAAAAGAACTCTTGATTTTCTACTCCACCCTTCTCAATAAATTGCACGGTCATCCAGTTAATTGTTCAAGCCAAAAATCTAAGAATTAGCCCTGCTTCTTCTTTCTCCCTCACACTTCCTAGATTGTGCTGGTCCTGATAACCCTATCTCCAACATACATTTCAAATCCATTGACTTCTATCTCCTAGTCCACACTATCTTCGCCGCTTACCTAGTCTACTGCAATAAACTCCTAGCTGCTTTCTCTGATTCCACTCTTGCTCCCACATATCAGAGCTACAGTGGTCATTTTAAAACAGAAATCAAAGTACTCCCTTGCCTTCAACTTTCCAGCAGCTTCCCATCACAGAATAAAATGAAAATTCCTTACTCTAAGGCCCTACAAAACCTCATTTTACCTCATTCTTCCCCTAACCTCAATGTTCAACTATATTGTCCTTCTTGAATTCCTCAAACAGAACATGCTACACATGGTCTTACCTAAGGAACTTTTCCCTAGTGATTCCTAGGGCCAGAGGGCTCCACAACTCTTAACCTTACATGGCTGGCTCCTTCTTAGTATTCAGATCACATTGTTCACGTCACCTTCTCTGGAAGACTTCCTTGATAACCCAATTTAGTTCTAAGGCCAAGCCTAATACTCTATATTTTAATTCTCAGCATAGCACTTATCACTAGCTGATTTTTTTTTTTTTACTGTTTGTTTTTTCTTCTGCGTCCCCCCAACAAGAATGTAATACACTTGACTTTGTCCTCTCTCTTATTCATCTCTGTATCCTCAGATCCTAAAATAGTTAACTACCAAATAGCAGTTGCTCAATATTGATCTAAAAGGAAATACCTCATGACTTCAAAATTCTCTTTTCATATAGAGCCACTTATACTTTCAGTGTAAGATATTTAATGCACACATTTTGAATTATTTCCCCCCAAATACACCTGATGTTTATCTGCCATTTTCTAGCCCTTTCCAGATTTTTATAAGCTCTATCTGCAATTTACCAAAATGGAACAGGTATTTTGCTGTTGAGAGGAATTTGAGATTCATCTGTGAAACAGAAGACATGCTTGCTGCCCCTCTCACCCCAAGGGATGGATACTATTACTCCCATTTTGCAGAAGAAGATAGTGAGGCAGAGAGGCTAGGTAACTTGCTAATGATAACACAGACAGGCATGGAACCAGCATGTGAACTCAAGTCACTGGCTCTGGATCCAGTGCTTATGACCACAATGCTACCTACTTAAGAAGCATCCCTGTGCTCACTGGTAGTTGCATAAGAGATACTAACCATTTCATCATCTCTGTCTTCTCCATCCTCCTTGGGGTCAGCTTTCAGAGACAGTTTTGGTTTTTTCTTCCGACTACACTTAGGATCCTCTTCCTCATTGTCATCTCCTATGTCCCTTTCTTCTTTCTGATCTCTGTTGTGTTTATAAACCCAAAATAGTGACAGGAAGCAAAACCTATCAGACAACTGCATGCTGATTATCGATGCAAAAATTATTTAAAAAAAAAAAAAAATCACCCTCCAAAGGAAAAATATTTAACCACAAGGAGAAATGCATAGGCATCAGAACACTGTATGTAAGGAATACTCAAAAACACTATTATGTATGACAGCTGTCAAGCTAGAAAATGGAAACTATATAAATCACAAAAGGGGATGAGCAATACATGTGAAACAGGCTCTAACAAGATTCAAATTATTTTTCTTTCCCATCTGCCATCCATATAATAAAAGAATTGATTATTTAGAGATATCGGAGTCTTCAGGGCAATTTTAAAGCAAGGATCTAGCAATTATTAAGAATGACAAGTCCAACTGAAAGAGGCCAAGTATAGCTTTGTAAAACATCAGTTGGCCAACAAAAACAAGAGAACTCCCAAGCTTGTGCTGATTAAAATACATGAGAAACTCCACTAAAACATAAATTTCAAGTCACTTATTAGTAGTATACAATTACGTGCACGAAATACACCTTCTTGGTGATGAACTACATTTTGTCAGTTATTCCCCAAATGGCACTGTCAGTCACACCACTGCCAGTCACAGCTGACATACCCATCTCATAATCCTCAATCTGCACTGAGATCAGCAGTAAAAAGACTCACTACACTATCCACCCTGGTCATTTTCATTCAGCTGATCGCCAATCAGTGGGAGATTTGTTCCAAATAGGGAGTTTTAGCTGATTTAAGAAACACCCAAAATACAAACAAATTGCATTTCCAGGAAGATCAGTATCATCAAAATGTGTAGCCCAGAAAAATCTAAACACTCTTAGCTAAGAAGTAATTCAATTAATGTAAACAAAAGGCTGAAAACAGAGGCAGAGGTTGTATCACAGGAAGAACATTAGCAGTGCAAGTCAGACCAGATATGACAGACGTCACTAAATCCAGTAAAGGGAACAGGGTCCATGTGCAGGTAAAGGGAACATCTCTGAAATAAGGAACAAATGGTGACAGACATCATAGAGCACAAAACTTCCGTAATCCCAGGCACCATGATCTTCAACTCTAAAACCCCTTTTACACAAGAAATAGGGCAAAAACCTACTTGTCTTTGATATGCCGAGCACAATTCTGGCTGCAATAGTTTCCTCCAGAAAGACACTCATCTACATTGCCATACTGACAACAGTTCTCACAGAATTGAAGCCCTTCTACTTTCACTGGATCCTTCAACCTGAAAGGCATCCCAGTCTTCTCTGAAAAGACTAGAAGGTGAGAAGAAGACCAATACTAAATTAAAACCACGACACAAGACTTACCAAAATACATTTAAACTTTTCCTTCTAAAAATTTTGTTAGCAATACAATAAAAGAATGCTTGCTGAATGAATGAATGGTTAAACTGTAGCATTTCAGAAAGTGGGGAGTAGGCTTTAGCAGGAATCACTTGAATCATTTACAAACCAAACGATATATTCTGCAGAAAACAAAGGAAAGCATGTCCAAATCTTTTTCTACAGAGCTCAAAGTAAAATGAAGAAAATTTAATTAATCACTAAATTCAGAAGATGAAACTATAAAATCCTTCTCAAGGGGTGTGTTTTCGACAAAATTTAAGAAGGGTCATCTGTGTTACTTCATGTTTATAACCTTCTGACGAGCGATTTTGTTGTATTTAATTGGCGAAGTCAACATCTAATTTACTTTTAATGCCTAGTAGCAAATCTGAATCATAATTATCCAAATGGTTTAGGAACTCACATTTCCTTTTGCCTGAACCGTTAATCATTCATTCAGCAAACATTCATTAGGCACCAATTTACTCTAGACACTGATAATGACAGTATAGACCTTGCCCAAGAGAGCTCACAGTCTAGGAGAGAAGACAGACAAGAAAACCAATAACTATAATAAAATGTGATACATGCAATAACAGAAGTATGAACAAATTCCAGAAGTAGTACAGAGGAAGAAGTGATTCGTTCAGCCGGGGGGGAGGTCAGGGAAAGATTTTCTGATATAAAGCCTCAACAGGGATTTGAAGGCCAAATAGGAATTGATCAACTGGACAAAGAGAGAAATGGCACTCAGGCCAGAAGAAACAGCATGAGCAAAGGCAAAGAAGCATGAAACCATATGATGTGTTGGGAGAATTACATGTAATTCAGTGCTGCTGGCATTGCCAGAATCCGATATATAAAGAACAGAACAGAGTGAAGGAGACACAGAAAGCAGAAGGGCGCAGGTCACCCAGATCTTTGTATGTTTTGCTAAAGAGGCAATAAGAAATAGCTGAGTGTCAGATAAGCAATCAACGTAAGTTCCTGCAACTTCAGTGTGCAGAATAAATTGGAAAGGGTGAAATTAGAAGCAGGGTGGTTATTTAAGAGACTTCTGCAATAGTTCATGTAGGAGTTGATAAGGGCCTACATTAAGAAAGTGGCAGGGATAACAGGTAGAAAAAGGCCAGATCTGAGAGGTATTTAGGAAATAAAACTCAAGAGGATCAAGTAACAGGATATGGGGGTAGGGAAGAACAAACTCAGGATGACTCCTAGATTTCTTGCTTGTACACTGGCTGGATGGTGCTACTGTCGACTGAAATATGGGATACAGAAGAATGAGCGGGTTTCGGGGGAGGGGAGAGAGAAATAGAAAATGAATCGCATTTCAGACATGTGGAGTTTGAGGTACCTGTGGGACATCCAGGTGGAGATGTCCAGTAGGCAGGTGGAAATACGGGCCTGGAGCTCGGGGGAGAGGTCGGGGCTGGAGATATAGATTTAGGAGTCATCAGCATATAGGTGTTAGTTACAACCATCGGAATAGATGAGAAAAAAGTGGCAGACGTTTGACTAAATCACCTGGGTAGGCTATTACAACATGGATTTACTTGATAATTTCCAATTAACCTTGTGCTATTACAGATCTGGCATTAAGAAAGAAGACAGTTAATAGCTATTTTGAAATATAAAAGCAGGCTTCATGTCAGTTTCATTATAGAAATTTACATAAGAACATGTGACACAAAAATCACCCAGGATTTTCAAAGTTCCATCCTACTATAAAAACCTAAATGTTCTTATTTTAAAACTTTCAAAAGAAAGAAATTAAAATGCAGACGGCCCTTTCTTACCTTCTTGAGCAGTTGGCACCATCCAAGTGGTGGTGGCAGTTGCTTTTTTAACATTTTCCATCTCACTCTCGTCTGTAATCACTTCCAGGGCTCCAAACTCATTTACCCGAAACTAGTGTCAACACAGTAGAAAGAGGCAAAACTTACAAAAGTGCTCAGAACAGTAATCATTTAATGGCTGACACTGATAGCCTTTAATTATGTTTTAAAAGTTAATTTAAACAATTATATCTAGGTAAGCCTTCTGCCAATATTAAGACCTTTATATTTTACTCATTTGGGAATTCAGGGAAGGGAGAACAGAAAAAGCACTTAGGATAAAATAACTCTGTGCTGCCCTATAGAACTGCCAGTCCACTTAAATATGGCTTGTAATTTCAAACACACTTCCATTTTTTTTGATACGATCTTTTTTAAATTTCACATTATTGCTTAATTAATAATGAAGGTTAGTAAAAAGGTGAAACAGTATTTTTCCAGGAATCAACTGGTCTAACCCAAGCTCATCTAGTTCTGAAAAAAGGAATATTTGAGAAATGACAAAAGGTTGGCGATTTGAACCCACCCAGCAGCTCCACAGGAGAAACACATGGTGATCTGCTCCCATAAAGATTACAGCCTAGAAATACTTAGGAGGCAGTTCTACCATGTCAAATGGGGTCACTATAAGTTGAAATTGACTCGATGGCACTTAACAACAACAACCTGTACGTCCATATCGTTATATTCCAGGCTTGAACTTGGAAAGCCAAAGCATGAGTCATGTCACCCCAGAACTTCACATTGATCTTCAGAATGCTCTATCATATAGTCAACTCTAGTTCTCCAAAATAACTGGAAATACCTGTGAGATCTGAACAAGTCTACTAGCTATAGACAAATTCTACCACCAAAAAGTAAGGGCATTTTGATCTTCTGGCCATTTCAGTTCAAAATACTGAACATTCCCTGTCACCTCACAGCAAGCTGCAAACTAAGTATCCTCCTATAACAGCCTTGTTCTACCGTGTGTGTGGAAAGCTTAGCCACTATCCACATAAGAACCCGGTCCTCGAAAAACTTTCTGTGTTCTGTCTTTCCTTAAAAACAGAATGACATTAGGGATCCACTAATTTTTTATTGTGCTTTAGATGTAAGTTTACAGCTCAAGTCAGTTGCTCATACAAACATTTATACACACATTGTTATGTGACCCTAGTTGCTCTATCCCTATAATGTGACAGCACACTCCTCTTTTCCACCCTGGATTTCCCATGTCCATTCAACCAGCTCCTATCCCTTTCTGCCTTCCATCTTGCCTCCAGACAGAAGTTGCCCATTTAGTCTTGTGTATCTACTTAACTAAGAAGCACACTCTTCATGAGTATCATTTTATGTCTTACAGTCCATCTAATCTTCGTCTGAAGAGTTGGCTTTGGGAATGGTTTTCGTTCTGGGTTAACAGTCTGGTGGCCATGTCTTCTTGGGTTCCTCCAGTCTCAGTCAGACCATTAAGTCTGGTCTTTACTAGAATCTGTGTTCTGCACCCTACCTTCCTCCTGTACCATCAGGGACTCTCTGTTGAGAGATCCACTAACTTTAAAAAATGATGAAGAACTAGAAAGTTCAAAATTCAAGAACATAATAAAATTTAGCTTTAAGTTTTATATCTTTCACAAAGATATACATGAGCATGCAAATACAGATTATTTAAATAAAGCCCCCCATTTCCCAATCAAAATAATGTATTTGGTCTACCTGTCAATACAACTATTTATCTTACCAACCTATATGCAGACTACAAGTTAAAAAAAAAAAAAAAAAAAACTTAAGCAAAAAGTGGCACAATAAATTATTCTTTCCACCAAGTGAAAATAGTACCTTAAGCAATTTTCTGCACATACTGCACAATTAGAAAGCACTCGCTTTCTAAACTGAATGAGCTGAAATAGTTAAGGGAAGGGAGAATGTTTTCTCCCACCTACATATTTCCAGATACAAGTTCCCAGGCAATTATACCTAGAATATACACCTAGAAATGTTAGTCTAGGAGGTGGTAAAAAGTTAATTGGAAGGAATTAGGCTAAAATAACTTCACTTCTTAGAAAAAGAAGGCTAAAATGAAAGAAAAAAAAAGTAAATCATCAAGTCTGAAAACAATGTTTCAAAATAAGGCTGACAGTACCATCTACTGGGCAAGAGTAGAAAAAACAAGCTATCATGATAATTATTAAAGATATTAAAGAAAATTGACACTAAATATAATGAAAATAAGAAAAACAATAGGTACAGTCTTTTCAGGTAAGTAATTTTACTTTTATTGAGTATTTCTGATGTTAATTTATGTTTTTACAAATACAAAATATGAGAAGCAGGACCAAACATTTACATTAAACAGAAAGTTTCCAAGGTGCTGCTAAGCTGCAAACCACCCTGCATTTCAAACAGTGACCAACAGAACACCACCGAGTGGAATCTTTACTTAAAATTTCAGACCTGTAACATCTGGAAGCTTAAGCTCAAATACTTTCAAAATTAAAAGCTTATTCTGACAATACAACACTTAATCCCAGTCACCTTTCCCTTTTCCTAATATTAATTGCCAATAACTGACATACGGTCTAAGTACAAAGCAAAGACATAATCTCTCTTAAGGACACAGATAACTCCTTTGGGCCAGGGAACCCAGATGGGCTTCAGAGACTGATGAATTCCCTGAAATTATATGCAAAATTATGTTATTTGCACATATATTGTTTTTCAGGGGATAGGGTTCACAGGTTTTATCATATTCTCCAACACATCCTATAATCTTGACAAAGTAAAGAACATCTGCCCTAACCAAAGTTACTTTAGCTCCAAAATTAAAAAATCAAAAGCATTTTCAAAGTAACCTATCATCTAGGTAAAGATATAGGGATCAAATTTTTTTTCTAGCATCTCAATTAGGACTTTCTGTGTCTTCCACAATATTGCTATCTTTGTTGAGAATATTAGACAAGATAGGATGTTAAATACTCTGCATCACTACTGAAGGAGTCCTGGTCACCTAGTGGTTAAGAATATGGCTGCTAACAAAAACGTCAGCAGTTTGAATCCACCAGCCACTTCTTGGAAACTCTATTGGGCAGTTCTAGTCTGCTCTATAGGGTTGCTATGAGTCAGAATTAACTCAATGGCAATGGTTTTTATTTTTTTGGTTTATACCTAACAAAAACAGAAGCCTCAACAGTGTAAAAAAGGGAAAGCATCCTGCGAGAGTGAATTTCATAATTTATTCAAAGTTCTTTCTAATATCTTAATTTTGTGAAAGATCAATTTCTTGATTGGATCTCTTAAGCAACTTGAAATTTAATATCAAGAGCAAGTGAATTAAAAATCCTAAGTAGTATAATTAACTGTCTAGTCTCTGAATCGCCTCAGATAAAGAGGGTCATAAAGCAGAAAATAACTCAAAAAATAAATTTTAAAAAGATGGTATGTCAAACTGTCTACAGCACATGAAGTGAGCTGGCAATATAGCAATTACCCAGGTAATTAGATGACTCTAAAAGTAATATCAAATAGCTCCTAAATGGCTTAAATACTTGATTACTTTAACGAAAGTAATAAACTAATTTCTAAAACCCGTTGCTTAGAAAACTTTTAAGGCAATCCAAATTTCTTAGGGATGGAAAGTGCATTCCACTGCCTACGCTGACTAAACAAAAATTACAAATTTCATCATCCACCTGGCATTGAGAAGAAAAGGGGTAAAAACTTTTAAGAAAAATGAAGGTGTGAGGCAATAAAAAAGGCATTTAAATAATACATAGAAAATCCAGAAAAGATACAATTTCTATCTTATGATATAGATTCTAAAACCCCCATCTAACAGATAAAGATTTCTAAGCTTAGAGAATTTAACTAACTTGACAAAAGTATTGTAAATGCCTGGCATTATCAGAGTTTGAGAAACAGTTTCTCTTTCTCAAAAAATATTTTTTCTTAAAAAATCTATAAGCTTCAGCACTCTATCATATCTAATCCAGATGGACATGTGGAGAGTAGGTAAAACCCTTAGTATTCATTGCTTTCCTTATTTTTAAAAAAGAGGAAACTTGGTCCAAAAAGATTAACTGCCTTGTTCAAGGTCACACAGAACTAAAACTAAAAACCAAATCTAAATTTTTCCAGACTTTACTAAACCTCACTGCAATATTCTTGTTAAACTAAGGTAGATATGTTGGCAACTACATAGTTAAACCTAACCCAACTAAAATCTAAGTATTTTTTCCAATAACAGGCAGATTATCCAAATGTCACCACTGAGGATGAGCTACGGCAGGCCTGGCTAAGATATGCATCAAGTAGTCACTAAAAAGGACTGAATTCCAAGAAGTCAATATTAGGGCAGGAACTTCTATCCAAGACAGCCCAGAACAACATGCATTAGAGAGGCAAGCCAGGTCACAGCATGTTAGGGTGATCCGAAGTTCAAACACCTGAACTACCAAGTGTAAACACAAAGTCTAAAGGGCCACAGACAGGTTCAAGGTCCCAGAGATAGGATCAGAGCAAAAGTAAACTAGAAATAAGGGATGGGGGCAGCTGACTTCCCAGATGCGTGCTTGCATAATCATGTTTCATGGGGCAGCAGATGCGGTCCTCAAGTGGGCTCGGGGTGCTGGGAAAAAGAAGCAGGACAAGTACACACAAAGCAGCATACAGAGGCCATCGCTCTCTGAAGACAGCTCTCACGTGCACAAAAGCAGTCTGATTTCTAGGAGGGAACTAACTGCTTTTGAAGAACCGATTATACAAAAACCCACATTTACAGTAGAAATAATTTAAGGGAGGTGAACAGTCATGATTTTTCAATACTGTAGCATTATTCAGTTTTTAAATGAGAAAATTAAGACACAGGAAGTGCAATTATTCACTTAAAGTTACAAAGCTCCATTACCACAAAATATAAGAAGATAGGTGGTCTTCTAAGCGTACCATTTGTATTTATTGGCCACCATGATACAATCAACACTGAGGCAATCCTCCTTGAAGCTGTAAATCAATTTCTGCTAACTGAGCACATACTGCAGAAATATTCCTCAATCCCCTATCCCAAGTCACAAAAGCTTCTGCTAATCCATCAGCATTTCAAACTGTTTTGAGAGTTTATTTTAGAGGTCTAAACATCAAACAAAACCTACAACACTACGCACAATGCTTTTAATTCTAATGCTTTTAAATCTTATTATATGTCTTCAATCTATTTTAAATTAAACACACACGCAGATGCATACACACACATAATTAGATATAATAGAGATAGCTTACCTTTAAATCACTTCCTGGTAATGTGCCTACTCCATCCTTCCAGTCCATAACACTGAATACATCAAACTCTTGCCCACTTGTGCTAGAGGCAGATTCAGTCATTTTTTTTTTTTAAAAACCTGAAAGGGAGAAAAACAAACAAATCACTAATATTTCAAACACAAATCAGTTTTTAAGTGATCATTACTTAAGTTCCCCTTAATTATATAATTTTCTTAGAAGCAATATCCTATATCCATAGATCTGAAAATGACTGCTTCAAAAATATGACTGAACCCTGCTAACTCAGAACTGAAACCACTCCTGAAAGCCACCTTTCAGCCAAAGATTAGACAGGCCTATAAAACTAACACATGTGAGGAACGTGCTGCTTAGTTAAATCAAGTATACAAGACTAAATGGGCAACACCTGTGCAAAAGCAAAGCCAAGAAGGCAGGAAGGGACAGGAACACTGGACGAATGGACATGGAGAACCCAGGGTGGAAAGGGGAAGAGTGCCGACACACTACAGGGATTGCAACCAACGTCACAGAATAATTTGTGTATAAATTTTTAAAAGAAAAACTAATTTGCACTGTAAACTTTCACCAAAAACACAATAAAATTAAATATATATGATTGACCTTTTTTCCTGTGCAATTTACGATAAATTCTATGGAAAAAAACCTTAATATAATTTTGAAGTTAAAGTGTCACAATAAAATTCTACTATACTTAAAACAAATTCAGTATTCCATAGCATATTCACTTAAAACAAACAAAAACATCATGAGCCATATAGATAGAATTCCTTGCTCTCTCTCTAGTTTTTTCCCAGCTTTAAGATACTGAAAAGACAGTCGGTATGAATAAGGTATAGAATTAATATAAAATGTTGACAGTAAAACAGAAGAGATCATTTGTATAAAAATAAGACAATTCAATCCATTTTTGGCTGTCATCTACACCAAATTTATGAACTGTTTGATCTACAGATACACAAATGCATCATGTGACTGATTCTTTCAGTAAACTGCTTTATTCAATTCAGTTGAAATATCTGCCAATCTGTTGTTACGGGAAATCAGAAGATGGTCTCAAAATGTACAGTGAGCATCAATATTAAAATGATCAATCTGGATAGCTAAACTGTGATAATATTTTTAACTTTCTTTTTCTTTTTTTCAAATTGCTAAGTCTTATATCGCTTTCTATAATCAAATCATTGGTAGTAATATTTATACTGATATTGTTTTCGTTGTTGTTGTTGGCTGTCAAGTCAATTCCCATTCACAGCAACCCTATATGACAGAGTAGAATTGCTCCATAGGGTTTCCTAGGCTGTAATCTTTAATAGAAGGAGCCCTGGTGGCACAATGGTTAAGTGTTCAGCTCCTAACAGAAAGGTCGGAGGTTTGAACCCACCCAGTGGCTCCATGGAGAAAAGACCTGGTGATCTGCTCCTGTATAGGTTCCAGCCTAGGAAACCCTCTGGGGCAATTCTACCTTGTCACATTGGGTCACTATGAGTCAAAAATCAACTTGAAGGCATCTAACAACAATAACAACAATCTTTGTGGATGTAGATGACCAGGTCTTTTTTCCTGCAGAGCCACTTGAGGGGTCTGAACCTCCGACCTTTCAGTTGGCAGTTGAGCACTTAACCACTGAGCCACCAGGGTTCCTTGCTGTTTCTGCAGTATGGGATAAAACAAATAAGCAATTATGCTGGTGTCATCAACAACCAATATAAGATCTATGGGTCCTAGATTTGAATGGAAGTTAATAGTATCAAATCATGATATATTTTATCTTTTTAAAAATGCCTATTTCCTCATTGGAAAAGTCTAGAAACAATGACCAATCAATAATACTGAGCACCTTAATGCCTAGAATGTGGTCTCTAAGTACCATTTCTCACTAAAAGAATCAAGTCTGTACAGAGAAAGAGCTGATTTCTGGTCAGTGGCAGGAAATGTGCAAGATGAGCCTGGAATATCTTGTCAAACCAGAAAGTGAGGAAGCTTTCAAAGACAACAGAGGTCATATCAAAAGAACTCTGGAGCCAACTAGAAGAGGCTCCTGCTGGCCAAAGAAAGGATAACAGCAGCAGTGAACTGAAATATATCAATTCATTTTAATCCATGAGTTCACAATGACACTCAAACCCACAACAGTTATTACCTTTTGAAGATTCAAAGGAACTCATTATTTGGAAAAACAAAAAGAATCAAGGATTTATCATGTTTTCCCATACAAATTGTATCTCAAGGTAACCAAAGAGTTGATGAGAGGAAATTACTCTTTAGAAAGAATTCCAGCAAATACATGAGGAACTAGGATATTACCATTTGCAACCCTTAGTGAATTAATGGCTCTAGACATGAGTCATTAATGGCTACTAAGAACACCATCTATGAAGTAATATTGCCAGGTGGAGGGGGGAATCAAGCCTAATCTGATCACGCCTATTCACAAAAAATGCCAGAGACAAAGGAACATGTTAAATCACACCATAAAGATATAAGGAGCAAAATCCAGACTATCAGAAACTCAGCTGTATTCTATTAAGACAGACACTAAAGAATGTTGCAAAAATAGAAAACAATGCCACTTCTCTCTCTGTTGGTTATTGTTTTGAAAACTATGGTTTCGTTCCACAAAAAATTATGCTTATATATACTAACAAGTAATAGGTTTATTATTGTTATTTTAAATAAAAACTATTTTAAAATCATGCTGTACAGTATAAATGACTTGCCCACCACCCTCCCGCCCCCGGCCAAAAAAAAGATTTTAAGGAACAAGAAAAAAAAAAAGATTTCAAGGAATAAAAAAAATAGGGAGATGGAAAAGGAAATTTGGGTTTAAAAAAAATTTGGATTAAAAAAGACTTAAGAGATTATGTTAACCAATAACAATTACCAGAATTCACAGATTTTGTACGGACTCTGGTTTAAACTGCTAAAAAAAAAAAAAAAAAAAGATTATTATTAGACAGGAAGGGAAGAATGAATACAAACTAGTATTTGATGATATTAGAGAAATACTATTGGTTTTTTTAGGGGGATGATGATTAAAAGAAGAAATTTTTCTCATATGTTAGAGACACATATTGAAATTGACAGACGAAATGACATAATGTGAGGAATTTGCTTGCTATAAAATAATTCAAGGGGGAGAAGTGGGGGAGTAAGACTGGTAACATGCTGGTAAATGTCAAGACTGTGACAGGTCCATGGTGGTTCCTTATACCATACTGCAGTTGGGAATATGCTTGAAAAAATTCTATAATAAAAAGGTTTTATTTTTTAAGTGCAGTCTCTCTACATATACGACATATATTCATTTTTAAATAATTAATAGAAAAGACCTGTGTTTCTGTGAATTATAGCTATCTTCTGTTGAAGTTAAGAAGCCCTTGTAGTGTAGTGTTAAGTGCTCGGCTGCCAACCAAAAGGTCAGTGGTTCAAACTCACCACCAGTTCTGTGGGAGGAAGATGTGGCTGTCTGCTTTCGTAAAGATTACAGCCTTGGAAATGCCATGGGGCAGTTCTACTCTGTCCTATAGGGTCGCTATGAGTCACAATTGACTCCATGGCAACGGGTTTATTTGTTTTTTTTTTTGTTTTCTGTTGAAGTTTACTAAATGCATCAATATTCTTTCTTCCTTTTTTCCCTTTTACATCAAAAAAACACCAAATATTAGACATTTATTACAAAATCTATTCCTAATCATTTCAAAATTTACATAGCCTGAATCTGAAGACGCATCAGATGTTCACTAATGTTAAGACTTAATCCTCAAAACAGGAACTAGGATGTGAGGTCCTGAAGAATAATTAATCTAAGAAATAGTGAAAATATTAAATGAATTAAGACTTGTACTTAAGTTCTGTATGCTTCTACCTCAGTAAATAAAGACCAGCAACAAAACTGACTGCCCTATTAGGTGATAAAAGAGTGGCAACTTTTTCCTGATAGACAATAGAGTGATAGGATAATTTTCCCCAGGCGGATAAACTGGATAAAACCTGAATGATCCTTCAAAAAAAAAAGTTATACTGTTCTTTCTGGTAAAATCTCTGGATAACCAGAGTCTCAGTTCCAATATTTTCTCTGGCAAGTGAAATTTAAGGAAATTTTCTGAAATCCTCAGCTGTGCCTTCTGTGACTACCCTGGTGGGTACATTCTCTTATAATTGTAATAGTTAACATTTGCTCACCAGTTTACTAAGTGTCAGACATAATACAAACACTTTTTTTTAATTCTATCCCATCTTCTTTCAGAAAAGGATTCAAAGCAGTAGAGAATTTACATACATTATTTATTTCTTTCTGAAAAAAAGATAGGTTACATTACCCCTCTCATACAGTGTATACATTGATGAAAGTAAGGTGTAGAGAGGTTCGGTAATTTACCCAAAACAATTACTTGGAGGCAGAGTCAGGATTTGAACCTGGGTCATTCTGATCCCAACACTGAACTTTTTTCTCAAACACTGTCTAACCTTCTTAGCGTCTTGTTTCCTCTGAAAATCTGGCAAAACTTATTTTTCCCTATGTTACATCATTGGAACATGGCAAATACAGAAACCAGTTTACCAGGGCCAAACTTATTTCATGCATTTCAGTACAAGGTTATCCTGAACACTATCAAAATGTCATTAAGAGATACATACCATACAAATATATTTTGTAGTTTCCTATCTAAAATTCACATCAGCTACAATCCTGTGTCTAGAAAGAGCAGTAGAAAGCAGGAAAAATCGAAAAGCTAGCACTGTACAAAACCTGCAGTACATGGTTATTATACATTTTACAAAATACTTAGAACATACGATCTACATAAAATACTGCTAATGTTATATAGTATACTCTGCCTGTAGTCTGGTATCTAAAATTTGTAAAAATTGTTTCCATCTATGGTTTTCATATTGGTTGTGGACATTTTGTATAAAATAACACAAAAGTATTTATTATGCTGTCTTTCCTTCATCTAATTTTAAAGCCAGTGGCTACTTTTAGTATCACCAAAGTCTGAGTGGCTACAACAGATTAGGTGTTTTTCTACCACCTATTAATCAGCAGAACAGCCAGAAGTCAGTATTACTTAAACAGTAACTGATGCTTCTGTGA